AGGAGCAGCAGGCAATCATTTGTCCATTGGAGGGCAGCGGTGTCAACATCGAACAGGCACAGATTCTGCCCCAGCGACAACGCGCACTCCAAACCCTTGAAATGGCAGCCAGTCGTGGTGGTACTGGTGCTGGTGGCTATTCACCTGGTCCCGGTGATCCGTTGCTGGCCAAGCAAAAGCATCATCATCGACGCGCATTCGAGTATATTTCCAAGGCGCTCAAAATTGACGAGGAGAACGAAGGTAAGCCTTTTATGGGGTTGCTTTGTGATTGCGGCTGCTGGAGTGGTGCTTCATGAGTCATCGAACGCAGCGCGCGCTTTGTTGTCGTATCTGTTGTTCGAGCTAGAGATGGGCTCGTGTTGCAATTAGCTAACACGACGTGACACGACACGAACACGAATACTTATACAAACATTTACAATTGCAGCCTCTGTAAAAATTAAATTGACGTTCATGTAATTTACATTTCGTTTGGGTCCTTTCCTATATTTCTTTAGTATCGATGCTTATCCGTATTTGTCCCGTTAAAGAGCACAATAACAGAGGCACAATGTCTTATGTTAAATGTTCGTGTCACGATTGAAAACTCTACCCGCGTTCAACTCTCCTCTCCAACTCTCCGCTGCAAATCAATAGCCGCCCACACACACACACACACACTCGCACACAAGTGCACTCTGTTATTGATACTTCGTTTTACATTTTGCTTTTGCTTCTGTTTAATCCTGCAGGCCACAAAGAGCTGGCCATTGAGCTGTATCGCAAGGGCATCAAGGAGCTGGAGGATGGCATTGCCGTTGACTGCTGGAGCGGACGCGGCGATGTCTGGGATCGCGCCCAGCGCTTGCATGAGAAAATGCAAACCAATCTCTCCATGGCCCGCGATCGTCTGCACTTTCTCGGTGAGTAGCTACTGCATCCATAACTGCTCCGTCCACGAGCTTAGTGTAATTGTTTATTTTGATTATTTTGGTTTTTCTTTTGTTTTGTTTTGTTTTGCACCTGTGTTTGTCGTTTTTTGTTTTGCACATTTTATTTTTCGTTGTGTCCCCCTCCATCCGCCCCGGCCCTTCATTCGCGGCCATTTCCCTGCAGCTTTGCGTGAGGAAGATTTGCAAATGCAACGTTTGTCCCTAAAGGAGCAGCCCAAGAAGCAGCTGCCGCACAAATTTAAACAACCCATGCTGGTGGGTCAAACCACCACCAGCAGCGGCAGCAGCAGCAGCAGCAGAGCAAGCGCTGAGCCACCGAAAATAACATTGCGCAGCAGCGGCTACGGACCCAAAACGGGCGGCGCAACCACATCCAAAGCCGTGCCAGCGGGTAAGTGCCGTAAACTTTATAACGACTGCAACAGCAACAATCAAAGCCATAGCACACAGTCCAGTAAGAGCGACAACAATAACAACAACAACAACAACAGCAACAGCAACAATAATAATAATAATGATAATTGTAATATCAACGACTGCAACATTTTCCTCACACTCTCGCATTTTCACTTCAAGCACCGCATGATTTTTAGTTTGAATTTGAGTTCTTTTAATTAGCTTTTGATTTGGTCTAGACAAAATTATAGCTTGTAAGGCTCTAGCCGCAATCTTTGCAGCGCATATTAATCAAACTCTCATCTCGTATGCAGCTTCTGGGCGCAAACTCACCATTGGCAACAAGCGACCCGGCAATCTGGCCGTAGCCAACAAGTCACAAACGCTGCCACGCAATCTCGGCTCGAAGACAACCTCGACCTCGGTGGGCGCCGCTTTGCAGCGTCAGCCAGGCAAAACGGCAGCTACTCCGCCGGCCGTGCGTCGCCAATTTGTAAGTCACGATTTCACAAGACATCGCAAGACTTCTATTAACTATACATAATCCACGCAGTCATCCGGCCGCAATACGCCGCCGCAGCGCTCACGCACGCCCATTAACAACAATGCGGCCAGCGGCAGTGGCAGCGGGGCCAGCACGCCATTGATCAGTGTCAAGGGCGTGGAGCAGAAGCTGGTGCAGCTGATACTCGACGAGATTGTTGAGGGTGGCGCCAAGGTGGAGTGGTCCGATATTGCCGGCCAGGATGTGGCCAAGCAAGCGTTACAAGAGATGGTCATATTGCCATCCGTGCGTCCCGAGCTCTTTACAGGTAGGCTACATTATCTTCAATCAGAACACATCTTTAACAACAACTCGTTCTTTTGCAGGCCTGCGCGCACCGGCCAAGGGTCTGCTGCTGTTCGGACCGCCCGGCAATGGCAAAACATTGTTGGCGCGCGCCGTGGCCACCGAGTGCAGCGCCACATTCCTAAACATCTCGGCCGCCTCGCTGACCAGCAAGTATGTGGGCGATGGCGAGAAACTGGTGCGCGCACTTTTTGCGGTGGCTCGTCACATGCAGCCATCGATAATATTTATTGATGAGGTCGATTCGCTGCTCTCGGAGCGCAGCAGCAACGAGCATGAGGCATCGCGTCGCCTTAAAACCGAGTTCCTGGTCGAATTCGATGGGCTGCCTGGTAATCCGGAGGGAGATCGCATTGTGGTGTTGGCAGCTACCAATCGGCCGCAAGAGCTGGACGAAGCTGCGCTGCGTCGGTTCACCAAGCGCGTCTATGTCTCACTGCCCGGCGTACAAACACGCGAGCTGCTTTTAAGTCGTCTGCTGCAGAAGCAGGGAAGTCCCCTGGACACGGAAGCCTTGGCCCGTTTGGCAAAGATAACCGACGGCTATTCGGGCTCCGATTTAACAGCGCTAGCCAAAGATGCAGCACTGGAGCCCATACGTGAACTAAATGTGGAGCAGGTCAAGTGTCTGGACATAAGCGCTATGCGCCCAATTACCGAAAAGGATTTCCACAACTCGTTAAAGCGCATACGTCGTTCGGTCGCGCCGCAAAGTCTCAACTCATACGAGAAATGGTCGCAGGACTATGGCGACATTACCATTTAGTTTGGTCGCATTTTCTATTTAATCTCCAATAGGTTTTGGTTTGTTTTTGGTGATCACCCACCCAACCACAACAAATGCAGCTAGCTGCTGGCATATATAAGTCCAGCGGGCAGTCCACAATACCAGAAACAAGGCCACAACGCCTCCATGTCCACGTCGGGCCACACAGCTTGCAAGGCCGGCGCAATCAAACGTATGTGATGTGAGTGACGGAATTTACAATTTGTTGTTGTTCTTGCTGTTGTGTTGCACATGCAACATGCGTCATGCAACCAAGCGCATTAGTTTTCATCTATGACTTGTATTTTTAACATTTATAGAACGTTCATTAAGCAATTAGCTTTTATCTTCATGGTAGTCTTTAATTGTGTTCACAAGTTTTGTTGATTTAATATGTATGTATATGAAATTGCAATTCGTTTGCTTTTTTCTAGCGTACCAGTTTCCTATGTTTAAGAATATCTTCATTGTAAGTTGTTTTATGTTTATAAATGCTATGTTTAAACGGTGCCGTGATCATAATCCATACGAAACATAAATAATAAGCGAAACATACTAAACTCATATCTGTATTTAACTTATTCAAGAAAGATGTTCAATGAGTTTCACTTAATTGCTTAGGTAAACATTTGTAAAATGTATAATTACTATTTTTATTCTATTTTCAATTGTTTCTAAACGAATTCCATGCGTAGTTAAACATTGTTTATACTTCAAAAAATCTTAATAATAAGTTGTTTGCTGTCTACTTCCAATTAAACACATATATTAGCCCTCAAGCAGTTTCTGTTGTACAGTTAATGCCATAGACACTACCATAATAATAATAATTATAAAAAATTGTTTTTAGTATCCAACAAAACCTCCACTCAAATACAATTACACGTAATCGTAGACATAAGCATAGCCGTAAGAGAAAAGCGCCACGTTTCATTGATCTAAGTTGGCTCTAAACATTAACTAGACTTTAGTTCCTTTATGAATATGTACAATAGCTGCAGTCGTTTGTTCAACATCAACGAGCCCAACCAATAATAGATGTGCTTCTATGCATATAAATACATAATTATATTATTTATAGTACCGTTACCAAATTATTGTACCTAGAATTATTAACATTTGCTTACGACGCTAATTAATAGCTTTATGCAGCGCCGCCACAAAAACCCCAAAAACAAAAAACTTAAGCTAATGCGAAAAATAAAAACCATTTCAACAGATATTGTTTATTGTACATTTTTTAAACTATATTTACTATTTGGGGCTTCCTGTTTTATTGGAAAAACGGCAAGATCAAATTTCAGACAGTCAAAAATTAAATATCCTCATTCCTAACTAAAAATTTAATTTTCTCTTAGATTTAGTGGTTCTTCAGTGATTGGAATATCTTTAATAGAATTGACTGGAGATAAAGTTAAATGGATTTTTCTTAAATTTCAAAATCTTCTATTCAAAATGTGCAAATACCAGGTGTGCGTATACCTTTCCAGTCTCAGTTCTACTATAGCTCAGCTAGAGATCCATTGTAATGTTTTTGCCTGGGCACAGGTGGATGAAATGATTTGTTTTTTTGTTATTGTAAATTTAGTTTACTTTGTCTGTGAAATTGTGCACGACTAATTCAACGGAGATATTCGATATTGAGAGGTCTGCGGCAAAATATGTTAGCCCATATCTTGGAATTTGTGGATTGTATTTCTTCTGGCGAGCTATTGCTATTATTAAGTTGTTTAGTGTTTAGTCTGTAAAACTCTTGAAAAACTCTTGAAAATTTGACAGCTTAGCAAAAGGCGGGAGGCAGTCCATAGAATCCAGTTCAGCATGGGCAGAGGCAGTCCTGACATGGTCCGCTTTAACTTCCAGTTAACATTTAAAGCTCCTGTTGGCTGTTAACCTGCCGCCCACTTATGATCGTCACTGCTTTTTCTTATAATAGCCAATATTTTATTTATTTATAATTTTCTTTTATCCGCGCAACAGCGATAAGTAATCGACGAATAACTGTGATTATGCATACTCGTGTAAACTCGTGTTACTTGTATACGATTCCGATAACATTCATCGATATTAATTTAGTTGCAGCTGTGCTGACAGCTGAATGGGTCTCACTGTTGTGCTTATAATACCATTATCAATGGGGGGTCTAACAGTTTTGTGAGTGGTGTTGTAATTATCACACGCGCCAATAATTATGCTTAATTTGCAAGCTGTTTCAGACAATTGGCGACTAACGTGATCAGGTCAACCAGACGTAACTGCATTTCATCAATACACAAACCAGCGGCAAAGTGCAACAACAAAACAGACAAGAAGCATAACAAAATGCTACACCAGCTGCCAATCTATGCCAGCGGCGAGATTGTTCGCGGTTTTGGCCGCGGCTCCAAAGAGCTAGGCATTCCAACGGGTATGTATAGCAGGCACTCGACTGTCGTAACCCGATCACATAACGAATTCTAATACACTCGATTTCTATTGATAGCAAACTTATCGCTTGATGTGGTAAAGTCTCTGCCCGAATCCCTGCACACCGGAGTCTACTATGGCTGGTCCAATGTAAATAATGGTGAGGTGTACAAAATGGTGCTAAGCGTCGGTTGGAATCCATTCTACAACAACAAGGAGAAGAGCGTGGAAACGCATATGCTGCATAAATTCGATTGTGATTTGTATGGACAAACATTGAAAATCTGCATTGTCGGATATTTACGACCGGAAAAAAATTTCGATTCGCTGGACGACTTAATTAAAGTTATTAAATCGGACATAGAACAGGCGAAAACGTTGCTTGACCAGCCGGAAAATAGAAAGCTGCGAGAGGCTCCCTTCTTTTCAGCAAACATTTCAAAATGTTGAATATCTTGATATAGTTTTGTTATCATTCAGGCACTTTAATGCCTCGAATTATCGAAATCCGCGTATTTCATAGAAAATTGAATGTACTTAAGATAGACCTTGATCTTGAATTAAATATCATTATTTACATCACGTAAGTCGATTAATTGATTAACTTAGCCACGTCATTAGACTGAAGTGGAACTGCTCGACTTGTAAATATCCGTCAACAATTCGAATGCTAAAATATATTCAAAAAAAATATTACTGCTATATTATATGGCACTAGGTTAAACATAAAAGTAATGCGCATATGGGCCGTGTTAGACCTGAACTTCCTTTTTATTCCGAAAGAAGTTTACTCAAAGAATATTCCCTCGAAAATTAACAGCACTTGTTTTAAATTGCAAGATTCCATTTTTTTTAACTGCCAAGCTTTTATACTCATTTATGTTAACCGATAGCTAATCGAGCTATCGAGTTACAATACTCATTCTAAAATCATATCGATATTCGGCTCACGTTGTCATCCTTAGCACGACCTTACAAAAATACAAGTGTAATTTACATCGAAATCGGTATTTTATTGCTTTCACTATGCAGCCACACCGATTGTGAAGTTAATCGATTCACTTGTACAATCGCCATCCCACACTGCTAATAAATAAGCTATAAGAATAATCTCTTAAAATTCTATTAAATCAGTGAAAAATTAACGTAAGTAGTCGCCAAATAGCTGATTTATACTCGTCTTAAGTCAAATATAATGTCCTTTTATACTAACGTTGGCTACTTTATTGAATTTTCCACAAAACATGACGCATCTGCATCTGGATACGCCTTTCATTTATGCCGGACACGCATACACACAAAACAAAACATTTGTAAAACACGCACACGCACACGCAAACACGCAGTGCGTACAGCTCTCTCACACACACACACACACACACGCACACACAGGCATAACAAGAGTCAAAATAGATACGAATTAGTTGCCACAAGCAGCAAGTGCACCTACACAGCCCACACCGGAGATATGGCGCACATAGTGGAAAATCAATTATATGCTGCTGCGCAAGCAATTGAGCAGCAGTTGGATCAAGAGATCGATCGCTTGGATAACTTTGACACGGACGATCTGAAGGCCTTGAGAGAGAAGCGCATACAGGAAATGAAAAAGTTAAACAATAAAAAGCAGGAATGGCTGAGAAACGTGAGTACAATCCGGCTGCTTAAGGCAGGTCTCTTTTAATTGAATGTTTATTCTAGGGTCACGGCACGTATTCCGAGTTGGCCGATGAGAAGGAGTTCTTTGAGGTATCCAAGAAATCGCCGAACATTGTGTGCCACTTCTATAGGGATAGCTCGGAACGCAGTCGCATTGTCGACATGCATCTGAAAATACTCGCCGCCAAACATGTTGAGGCCAAATTCTGCAAGGTGAATGCTGAAAAGACACCGTTCTTGACCCAACGTCTACGCATCAAGGTGCTGCCAACAATAGCACTCGTGAAGGACAGTAAAACCAAGGACTTCATCGTGGGCTTTACCGATTTGGGCAACTGTGATGACTTCTCCACAGAGATGCTCGAATGGCGTATTGCCCATTCGGGCGTCATTGAGTACAAAGGCGATCTTATGCAGCCACCAGATGTGAAACGCAAACCATTTATAAATCGCCCACAGAAGACTATACGCGGCGGCTACGACTCCGATGATTCAGATATCGATCTGGATGATTAATGTGGCGCCTACGGCAGCCGCAACATAAACAAAAACACAACCACAAAGTAAACACTAGCTGCTTGGCACTTTGTTGCGCCTGGAACACTCAACAAACAAACAAAACAAAAAACATCATATGAAATGAAAACAAATCAAAACCTAGCACATGAATGTAGGAAACCAATTAGGCATACTTTATCGTTATTTATTTAATTATATAATTCCAATCGAGCTAATGCTACTAACCCTAACCTTAACTCTCCATGTCATTGGGGTGCTCACTGCGAGCTTATATGGTTGCCTTTCCTCCTTTATATTTTTACACACTCTAGTGGCCAGCTAAAAGCCCCTCTATGTTGTTCGTTCAAAATAGGCCTTGCGCGCCTTTGGCACAATATGATTAGTTCTAACTCGTAATGAACACCTACGTAAATATAAAAGACAAAACTGGCATAGATTTTCTAACAATATCTGACATTTGGCAGTGATGCATTTCCTACTGTAGAAATAACTAACTCACATGTACAAGTTTTTTACATTTATTTTTGTAATTCTACAAATACATCAACATGAAATCGACTTCACATTAAATGGCAAGTACGGATACAAATCTATTTTATTTGAGATACTTTATGGTTTGGGGCCAACAGATGTAAAAATGTATACAGCAAGTCCCAAACAACTAATTAAAAAGCATATATTGACACGTAGCCAGCATTTTACCTGCGCGTAACAAAAGGTTTCACTAATCCGCGCCAGCTTGCGCGTCATAAACCCAAGCAGATGCAACTGCTGTCAAGTTTACCTGCCAACACGCATATAAACACGGCGCTGCATCTGAACCCTGCACATTTAGTGTTTGATTTTGGCACGGCCAACAAGTCATATTTCGCGATGGTGCTTGAAGCCGATATACGGAATATTGTGCATACACTAAAGGATAACTACAGCCACGAGGAGATCGCACAGATGCTGGAGTGTGATGTTGAAAGCGTGACCAGCTGCATTACCGAAACTGAGCAGCATGATGGCAAAGTGGCTGCTAAATTGAAGCTGAGGCCGCTGCCCGAATTGCAGAGCAGGCGGGAAGTTGGACGACCGAAAGTGTTTGAAAATCGCAAGCTGGTCGAGCAGATGCTCTGCGATCATCCGCACTATACGTCCATAGATGTGCAGCGCGAGCTACTCACACGGTTTGGCATTGAGGTGAGCCGTCGCACGCTGCAGAGGCGCATCAGCGAGATAAGGGCGCGCCCATTTCCGCCAAAGAATCGAGGCTTGAGTGCGACTGTACGGCAGAGACGCCTCGAATGGGCACGCGCTCACGAGGAATGGACGGTGCAGGACTGGCGCAACATCTTCAACATGGACGACCAGAAAGTTATGGTAGATTCAACGCCCAAAGAGATATACTTGGACACCTTGGTGGGCCCCGATTGCGGCGAATGCACTGATTTGAACCTGCTGGAGCAACTAATGGCCATCATACAGCCCAAGATACAAACGCAGGCGCCACAAAATGTCTACGAGTTCCGCTCTGTGCTCTACGACATTTGGCACAGCGATCAGGAGCTGGTGAACAAGATAGATCACCTATACGAGTCGATGACGTGGCGTGTGGAGGCTGTCTTACAAAGCGGCGGCGCAGAAATTGACTTTTGCTAGACGGCCGAGCTAATTGTTTATCTTTTGTGGCAAATACACTTGATTATTATATTAGTTGTTTAAGCACAAACACATAATTGCTTTCATTAAACATTTTAGCTTACAATGTAGGTTTATTTTTATAGGATATAACATTGAATATGATTGTTAGAATTGAAGGTGTCATAAATAAAATTTCTAATTACACTATCGAGCACTGCTTTCAATGAAATTAAAATTTACATATATTGGAAAAGTGTAAAATATGTGTGATGTATGAAATGCGTGAAATGCGATTTCTATATTAAAAAGAACAATAGCTAAAGCCATTTACATGATGTCCTTGGGGAATATAACCAGAAGCAGAATTCCCTTAGCTTATAAAAGTGTTTGCTTCTTTTCTATATGTAAACTTTGTCCGGGTTTATTAATCGTTTGATTTTGGCGACCCGAGGCCAAGTTGGTTAACTAGATAACCTTTGGCGTTTACTGGGTGAAACCAGCACCGCAGTAGGCTGAAGCTGATGCGCACCAGAGATTGCATCAAAAATGCTCGACTCGGAACGTTGATATTCACTGCCAATATTTTCCAGATTAAGATCGGCATTTAACACAAGAACCTGCAATGACAATACAATGCATTTAGTAACCCTTTTAACAACGAGGCGAGTTCAATTCAAGCAACCTTGCTTTGCTGCGGACGCCTGTGGTGTATCAGCCAATCCTCGTGCAGCTCATGCAACTCCTGTAAATACTTCAATGGCACGCAGCTCTCCTCGGAACGGGCGCGCTGACGTATACGTTCATATGCCACTTCGGGCGAGGTGCGCAGATATATAATTAGATCGGACTGCACGTGTATCGATTCCTCGATGAACTTGTACCACTCCTGCAGTGTGTTGTACATGCCCAGCTCCAGGGAGCCATTGCGAAACATATTCTCCACAAAACAATAGCTGTAACGGCAAGATAATTAATTTGATAAACTCTACAATCTGAGCAATATGCTGCGCACCGTGAACTGTAAATAGAGCGTTCGATTATTTTCAACTTTTTGGACGTGGGTGCCGTGTGCGCCTGGAGCATCGTTAATGTGACGTATGACTGAAAAGGCATAGCCCACTTTTGTGGATCCTTGTACATTTTCTCCAGCAAATTGACGCCGTTGACGTTGCGCCATTTCTCCACGGGTTCTGTGATCAGGCAGACATCCTTGTCATATTTCTGAAAGTGGTTCAAGAATGTCGTCTTGCCACTGCCAATGTTTCCCTCAATCAGCACCGTGAAGGGCTGTGTGTCCTGGGCGAACTTTCGGCCATTGCCTGTGCATGCTTTTGCCGTGGCCATCATTAAAGCTAAGCGTTTATCTGTTCGTTAAGAATGTGTTATATTTATATAAGTAAGTCTTCTAAAATATACTGCATCAATGTAACGATGGATTGTGAAATTGTGCCGACAGGCAAATCAATACAACTGTATGATGAGATCGCGACTCACGAAGCAACTACGAGATAGTCTCGATTTTGGTACCGAGAACAGCAAAAAAGCGGGAACCCTCTTTGAAAAGGCGGGATTTCTGAAAATTGCTTGTTTAGGTTCTTAACAGCTGTTCGATTAACAAATGCTTGTTAACTTAAAATCGATAAGTGTTAGGAAATTATTTACATATTTGCTGGATGATTTTTGGTGAACCCGGCATCTTATGTAAATTCATCACAAGTTACAAAATATGGATTGTTGTCTATATTTATTAAATTTGTTTATTCTTTTTAAGTCCAATTGCAGGGAATACACGAAAACAGCTGGCAACAAAATCTCTGGCGTTTAAGGCCTTTTGTTTTCTTTCCGCTTTTCTTACACCAAAAAAACAGAATGTAAAATGGCCAGGTCTAACATTAACTTTACATTGATAAGCATTTTGACATCGAATTTAACATAGAATTTCTCGCATGTACAGAGTACGATTGCCATCTCTACTTTTGTGGAAATGGCAAGTTAACATAGTGTACTACAGCGTTAAAAAAATAGAATCAAAAATGACGGGACGTTGAACCCATTACTTGAAAGTCAGCTAATTTATTTTATTATAGATTATAATTATAGAAAATGTACAGTAAAAGTCTAAATAAATATGATAGAAAACAGATTTGTGTCCTGGAAATTTCAGTCCATTTTCAAAAAGAGATTTACTTTGAAAAGTTACCAGCCCTGGTCGCAAATGTTAAATTCTCAAATGCTGTAAGGTTTTGTAAAATTTTACAGTAGTAAAAATTGAAATGGTATTCGAATCATCTAACTGCGCATTAAGGATATACTCATTAATCTAAACTACAATATATGTCGAAATCATTCTAATTAAGTTCTTTTGTCAGCGCTATCTATCTATCAAATTTGTTGGCAGTGAAACCAAAAACATATAATTACATTATGTATTGATGCGATTCAAATAATTTATTCCAGCGAATAACTAGGTGGATAGAGCCCGCAAAACTATCGATAAGTATCGTAATATGTGCATGAGACCAAATTGAAAATGTTAAAGCTGCCATAAATGTGGGCACACTGTTTGTTATATTGTAGAAAGAGGAAAACGTAAATTGGCATAATTTTATTGTTAATACTTTTCGTTTAAACTCAACGCGAATCCAGTTTTCGCACGGCTTAGAGCGAAAACCTTGCGTACAAAAAAGAGGTTTACTCGGCTCAGTATATTAATTTTAGTATATAAGAAATAGTTGGGGCCTAATTTCACAGTGTATTATAAATGTGAAAACAAATTATATGACCTAGATAAGCTGAGCTTAGTTTGTGGAACCTGCTTACGAGTTGTACTTGTCTGTGATTGTAAGCCCCGGACCCAACAAAACATAAGTCAAACAGTTGGACATGCAGCCCAGTTATATTTGTGCCTCTTCCGTCTCCATTGCTGCTCCTGCACTTGACAACGCAAACCTGTGGGTCACTTATATAAAAGTTTAATTACTTTAATAGCCGTTCGCTCGCTTGTTGCTTTATTGTTTGTTTCCCCTTGCCGTGTGCCCTCCCCTCCGTTTCCATGTTAGCGCAGCTCGATAAATGTAAAACCAATAACAATACACACACACACACACACACACGCACATGCATTTGTTAACTATCAAGGGTACAAAGTTCGAGTCCAGCTCACAACAATAGTAAAGTGCCATGTGTTCATGACTCTGAAACTCTCGATTTGGAATGTTAATGTAAATTGTACATCTGTATGTACATATATGTGTATATAGAGACTTTTAATAAAAAATTTTCCATTTAAAAGTTTGTCTTAAATTTGTTTTAAATAAATCTATTATTTTTTTTTCAGCACATTCGCGTAGAGGCTACAAAAAATTGTGATGGATTCCTCAAAGAAACTGCTGGAAAGCAACAGCTCTGGCAGCGATAAGGAGTTGGCCAGCACCAGCGTCAACATTACCGATCAGGATTCTGGTTTGCCCTCGTCGGTCGAAATGAACGATACTCCTGCGGCGCAGAGCGCTGCCGGCGAGGATGAAGACGAGGACATTTTCGAACAGGTGACCATGATATTGCGCAAGCGACGCGGCTGGGGACCAGGTGACTTGCTCGAGGATGACGACGACGAGCTCGTCGAGGAGGACGATGCCGGTTGCCCGTTGCCGTCAACGCCAGAGGACACCCAGCTCATAGAGGCCGAGGTAAGCCCAAAACCAAAGACGCAATCAGCTGTGCGAGCTAGCTGACCCAGTGGTCAGCGGCTATCAGCATGTACAACTGGGTTGGACACATATTTATACGTACACATGTATTGGTTAATGCATATATAAATGGAAACAATCGTTCGCTGACATTTTGAATGTCGCGACCAAGCTTATCATATCGCTGGAGTCAGTTCGATATGCCTAGGCGCAGGTGCAAAATGTCGACAAGACAACCAGCCAGCCAAGCAACCTACCCACCACCCGCACCACCTGGGCTGTAGGCATGTCTGCGTAGTTAAATATACATGTACATGTATTTATAACTTATTGTTGTCATTTGCGTCTGCATTGACAATTAGCACGCCTTGTGGGGGGGTCAGGTGCGGATTAGGCGTTCAGCACTGGATTTGGGCGCAAAGCAAATATTAAAAAAAAAAAAAACCAACAAAAAAAAAAAATAAAAACAGATGTGACGCAGATAGTTGTTTTACGTCTGGCGTCGATTTTTTTACACTCGTTATCTTATCGCGGGCTCCGTTCGCATTTTCTTCCGCCGCAAATGTGTACACAATATTTGAATTTAGTAGGCGATCGACTATCACTTCAAAGTACAAAACTTGCCATTTGCCATTTCGTGCACTTTATATATTTTATTTAGTATTTAAATTTAATTTTATGAGCTGCTCAATGGCTGAGTCGCGAGTTGAGTTCGATGCTGTTATAAACGTGGCCGAATCTGTGGAAACATTTAAGAATCAACCCTATGAAGAACCAATTCATTTTCAATCAAGCGAAATCAACGTTAGTCTCTGGCGCATAGTAAATTAATTTAATGCCTTTAAGTCTGCCCCAAAGTCTGCCCAAGCTTAACGTATTTATTTTTTCTTTCAGATGACAGAAGTCTTAAAGGCTGGCGTGCTCTCGGATGAGATCGATCTGGGCGCACTGGCTCACAATGCCGCCGAGCAGGCCGAGGAATTTGTGCGCAAGGTAAGCTGAAAGCTCAAGCAAAAACATTTCTTTGACGGGCCCTTTTGTAATTTCTTTCAAATGTATATTTAACAATCATGTACTAACACACATTCGTTTTAAACCATATTCACATTTGATGTTTAATAAATGCACTTACTGTTTTTTGTTCAATCATAAATTGTTCATTCTGTTTCGTTTCATGATTCCTTCCAAAATATTTACATGCTATATATATTTTCGTGTTTAATATAATTTTGTTTGTTCACAGGTTTGGGAAGCCAGCTGGAAGGTTTGCCATTACAGAAACTTGCCCAAATGGTTGCAGGATAATGATTTTTTGCATCGCGGTCATCGCCCGCCGCTGCCTTCGTTCCGAGCATGCTTTAAATCGATATTCCGTGTGCACACCGAAACTGGAAACATCTGGACGCATCTGCTTGGCTGCATTGCTTTCATTGGC